CAATAGCTATGAAGCAGAAACACACACACACACACACACACACACAGCAATGTCAGTCCATCTGCAAAGTCAGTCTCACTGTAACAGGGTTCATGTGTATCGATTTTAAATTTCCTCAATACCCCATAATATAGTTGCATTATGTAGCTGGAATACCTGAACGCAGGATGAAAGTTAAAATGTCTCTTCTGTTATATTCCTGTATCGTGAGCCTTTACTAAAACACTGATATTCTGTGATTGCTTCCCAAGAAATAACCATGTCTCTTTTCCTCTGATTTTCCAGGAATCCCATGACCAGTGAGACCTCAGTAGGCAGGGAATAATAATGAAAGTATACCGACTGTGGAGGAATGTCATAATTCATGTTAAAGCCTAGTGTGAACTGGTGGAAACTGTCAGCTCTGGGCTAAATTATCTCATCCCTTGTTATAATGAGCACAAACTGACAATCCTAATCTGCATTGCTCACACCTGAGCGAGGCTGTTGGTGCAGTGAAATCGACACACACTGACACAGGTAGACGGGTATAAAGTGGTGCCTCATCATTCAGTGCAATCATTTTCAATGGCTGTTTTCCCACGCCCCTGACATTCACATTTAAAAACAATCTTAACTACTTTGCCTTTTAAAGCTATGATGTAGAACTACAATTTGCTGAAGGTAGCAATTCAGAAGAGCCTTATGTAAAGGTTAGTTTATCACTAAATCTTCCTTTAAAAGAGAGTACAGCTGGTGGGTAAGAGAGCATGTCTGCCACCCTTTGGACAACACTTGCAACTACAACTACATTTTCTATTTCCTGTTACTTGTGAGTGGAAACTTTAAACAGCTTTTAGACATATTTATTTAAAGGCACGATGGGATAAATCTTGTAACCTGACAGCATTATTACCCAGACTGTAGCGTTTAACTACACTTTCTTCTAATAACACTTTATTTTAAACCCATTTAGGAGCTATATGAAGTATTTAAACAACTGATAATGGTCTCTACCATACGGTACCAATACATGGACTTTAATATATGGACAAACTGCAGTTTAAGACCATAGAATAATCATAGAATAATAAAGTATTTACATAAAGATTTTTTTTGAAGACATTTCCACAAAATGCTAACTTGGAATATGTACATCATGTGACCTTGCACTAGAATAATTTGTACTTGGTTAATGGAAATGAAATCTCTCTCTCTTTTTTTTTTTTTAAACACCACAATGTGTGTAATTATACATCATTAAAGATGATTACAGCTGCTTTATACTGTGTTGGATGTTTGAGGAAGATAAAAATGTTGATATAAATACTAAAGCATTATGTACTTACATCTACATAAATTGTTAAATAAGGCAGGAGCATTACCCATCTTCAAGTAAAATCACAGACACCGTCACACACACACACACCTACCCTACCCTCTCTGATAGCAACATCCCATAAATAATGTGATACTGCCACAGCTACAGTACAGTTACCCTGGAGTCTTGTCTCAGGTGTGATGTGTGGTCTGGTGATGCCATAACATGGTAAATGACTTTAACAGAAGCAGTCATATTTTAATCCACGATAATTTGGTTAGCCGGCATGTTTGCATAATTTAATGATTAAAAAAAATGATGCCAGTCTGTCACATCCTTGTGTTACAGTGTGTTATTTGACATCTGCAGGAACAACTGGTCGTGTGAGATAATTGTAAGATGATTTTTTTTTTTTTGCCTCATGGTTTTTGTTTCTCTTCATATTGATCGCCCATGCTTTTAGAGCAAAACCAATGAATAACAATTCTATTAATAAAAATAGTTCAGAATAATTTTCACAGAATCTTACACTTTATAAAAGAGGAGATATTGTTTCCTGGTTAAATACAGGCTCAATAAAAAGCATAATAATCTTATATTCATAATGGATGGCCTTTTTTAAAACTCCTTTCCACAACTACTTGGACTTGAAAAAATACCTGAGGTCTTGTGCCATGATGAATATTGGTCACCTCCTAATGTGCTTACAAGAAGGTTTTATGATGCACCTAATGTTGTAGAAACGATGAATGTAAATGTTTAACAGAAGACAAAATACACTGCAACAAACTATTTCCAAACAGGTAATGTATTTCTATCTGCTCCCCTAGAATAAAAAAAGCTGGATATTAATAGGCTGCTCAGCAATGGGACCTGTTACTGTCACCGCTGACCCACTTATCTCCTAACAATGGCCAGACAGTGGGTGCATTCTGGTGAAGGTAGGTGTCAAGTATTGTCTGGGAGCATTTCCCCCCCCCCCACACAGTGCAAAAATCAGGCTGCTGTTTTAATCTAGGGCATTGAAAGCAGTAAATGCCAGCCATTACAGAGCAGAGGAGAAATGATCATATTATGAAATTCATATATGAAATGCAAAAACGCCTCTCTGAGAAAGAAAAGGCAAATTACTCAATTAAAATATGTGGTTTAAGTTTTAAATTATTAATTTCACTTTCATTTTTTTTGTTCTTACATTAACCAGCAATAAAAAATAATCATGTCAGAAATGTGACCTATATGTGGATGAACAGAAACGACTGCACTAAAAAGGACATACACTGGCAGTTTTCCTGGAGCTTCCGAGAAATGACCATATATGTCTCCAGAACAATAACACTCGTATTCAGTTCCGGTCAGCCTCAATAAAACAAACAAACCCAAGCCAACTGGAGATAAGACAGCGAGTCACATCCCAGCCATTAAACCATTAAAACAGGATTTTACACGTGTGCTTATGTCTTCTGTATTTTATAACCAAAAGCTTTGCCCAGACTGATGATTCATTTTCTATCCCACCTTTATTAAAAGAATCTTACATTTTCTCTCAGCAGACAGATGACCAGAGTTAAGCAGAAACATTGGACACAGAGATGCACAAGCTTTCACACACACACACACGGCATTACTGTAGATCTCAATGAACAAATCTCCACTGATCATTTAATTAAGATATGCAGGTCCTAAACACACACACACACACACTCGCAGACCCTGGGAGTCACTGTGTCTCATGCCCAGATATTGTGTCGATGCAGAGTTAGTTCACACTCTGCATCACATCAACTTGCATCAATTTCCTGGAGACTTATCCTAAATAGAGCATCTGGTCCCCATGAGGAAGGCCGAGCCCCCACACTGTTCTCATACAACTGAACTGTCATTGTTTAGGTTGGTTTGGTCAAGTCTGAATTTGTGAGCTACAATATTTAGCTATTTCAATAATTAATCCAAAACCCTTTTTCTGACTATTTGAACTGTGTCCTAGTATATGTAGCTATTTAAACTGTCCTTTTATACATCTATTTTAACAATTTATTTTTCCTAACTGTCGACCTCTTTGATTGACTGTTTCCATTATAAACAAGAGAGGGGGTGCACCCTGGACAGGTCACCAGTCTATCCCAGGGCTGACACCTACAACCAAATTTACACCTATAGGCAATACAGAGTATCCAAATAACCTAACCTGCATGTCTTTGGACTGTGGGAGAAACCTGGAGTGCACAAAGAAAACAGAACAGAACAAACAAACCAGAACATGCAAACTCCACACTAAAAGCCCTGGCCCCTGCACTGCTGTGTTGACCATCACAGCTCTAATGCAATGTGTGTGATTCCAGGAGGAAAGACAGAGTACTGCAGGGGTAGAGAAAGTGTGTTAAAGTACTCTCTTATCAGTGAGTGTGTGGTAGGCAGCCACAGGGAGGACAATGCAGCAGGGTAAATGATGGCAGTATTGATCTCTGATGCTCTTTTATAGCCCTGTCATGTCTATTTAGCACCTTGGCAACACTCGCTTTAGAGCTACATCAATACTGATCTCTGGCACTCAGCAAAAGACAGACAGAAAGAGACAGATAGAGGGACAGGGAGGACAAATAAATAGAAGGAAGTAAGTACCAACTGCAACATTAAGGACTCAAATATTTTACAGCTCTAAACTTAAAGACATAAAGTGAGTCCATATGTCCCTGAGAGACTGTTAGCTGCATGCTTACACTTTACCAGAACTCTAGCTTGCCTACTGACAAACAGGGATGCGACGATACCAAAAATTCAAGGTACGATACTGCCAAAATAAAAAGTCCACGATACAATATTTATGACAATATTACAAATAAAAAAAAATATGAAAAATTCCCCTTACTATGTAATAAATAAGTGTTTTTGTATAATGTATATAAATGTAATGGGTATCTCCCCAACCACCAGGGGCAGTAACGAGCATAGTGCTGTTTGGTACAACAGAATAAAGGGAAGAAGATGCCAAAACACTAGAACAAGCCACAAAAAAGGTGAGATTTGTGCTTTACTGGAGGTGTTTTTTCAAACTCATGAAAATGCATAGTGTACATAAACTACGACATAAAGCCATGTACCATGGTGCTAAGATATCACCTAAACATTTTCCCTAAAATCCATAAAAGAATGACTGACATTAATGCAACAGAAGTAACATCAACTTAATGTTAAAAATAATCAAGGTAGGTATGATCAACAACTTTGAAGACCCATCACAATCACACTTAAGACTTTATAAGGCCTACAATTCAAATGATATTATAAATCTCTTTAAGATGGCATTCTTGCACACAGTCATATGTTTACATTATTTTGTCCTTTTGCATTCATGCACGCTACAGTGGCTGATTGATTAACTGACACCTGGTGTTGGATAACATCCATTTGGAACAAATGGTTTTGAGATCAGCCTCCACTGAGGCTCCATTTCTGTTTGGTGAAGCAGAAAATGAACCCTGTCTGCATTATCTGATAGCCACTACGAATTGGATTTCATGTGCTGAAAACAAAACATGCCAACGTCTATTACTAATGCACTGTACTTTCATCAGCTCAAAGTTTTAATTAACTTGTTCGGATCTGTGTGAATTAATGTTCAACTACGAGCTGCTTTACTGTCTTTTGTTTGTAGATGTAAATTATACAATTCCTGTATATACATGTGTGTGTTACTGACCGGTCACAGGAGCAGGCCACCAAAACACTGAGCACGTTGTAGATGATGAAGGTGAAGATGACAGCTGTGATGGTGCCACGGGGGATGGAGTAGCTGGGATGTTTCAGATCACCTAATAGACAGGTGTAATTGATAATCATAAACAGATAATCAGGCTACACATATATTTAATAACTGTCACGCCTACCTGACATGTTAGAACCAGCCATGATGCCGGTGCAGCCGTTAAACATCACAGCAAATACGGTGGCAAAGGTCATTATCTTTCCTGTTGTATAATCCACAGTGTAGTTTGCTGTGGGAACAGAGAACAACAAATAATTCACTATGCATTTATCAACATCATCTGTCTTCTAGCAGCAAGTTTAGTCCGAGTTGTTGCTAGACGCTGCTTTGTTCACCACCAAACCACCATGTTTTACAGCATCTGAGGAAACTGTTCTCTACAAATGTTTGTGCTGTTTACAGAGCACTCCTCAATCACAGGATGTTGGATCTAACTGTAGAAGCCTAAAATCATTTTTACAGCCATTAGAGGTCCTCTGGTTTTTGTATTTGAGACAACATACCAATATTTGAGAAAATAGATATCGCTGGGATCATGAGTAACATCCCAAAAATTCAATCAGCGTTTTCTATCAATGAACAGTAACATTTTACCTGGAGTTTCTCATTGGTGCCAGGGTGCATGCCAGAGTTACAACATTTAGCTTAGCAATCATGTGTCTGGATATAAATCCCTGCACACAGAATCAAGTGCATAGGCAGTTTTCTGTGGAAATTAAAAACCACAGAATGTGTACAACATCTAATTACAGATCCATCTAAACATTTGTCTGCTGCCAAAAATGCAGGAAAAGATTATGTATTTTCAGAAAACACTGCCACCAGAGAGCCGCCGGGTCCATTATCAGCCTCTCTGGAATGTACAGTGGAATGATGTCACAAAAATATAGCACAGTTATCTGGACTCTGTGAAAGTTTTACAAATATAAAACCTCTATGATTAAAAATTCATAACAAAGAGTAAAAACCTATCTCGTCTGCTACCGAAGGAGCCTTGTAAACATTTTTACAGACATCTCTTTTATGACACATTAGGGAATTTTTTTTTTATTGCAACATTGCGTGAGGCCACTGGGAACAACCAGTAGCAAGAGTGAGACACAGCACTGGCACTGTACACAGCTCTAGCAAGTTCCCGATTTTTGCATTAGCTGACACTGCATACACGACGAGGATGAAGGTCAAGAGTGTAAAGAAGCAGGAAAGGGGAGGGGTGGGCAGAGAGGAGTGTTTTGAGTGTCATACTAATGTTCTATTGAGTTCCAGAACATGCACACTGCAACTCTGACCACATCTGACTACCAGAGCTGGTAATACAGTACATGAACCGTGAAATCTGTCACTGAGGCCATTTTTCCATTAAGCAACAATTTAATTATTAATTCATTCACACTGAATCAAGTGATTTTTTCCCCACAATAACAGGATTTTTAACAACTGTGACCCGTAAATGCTATAAGATTAAAATAAATTGGGTGGTAGAGCAATAAATTGTTTTAGGATAACAAAACAATACTGTCACTTAAAATTTCAACATCCTACACCCTTTTTGTTTCTATTAAACCAATGGCCAGGGTAGTTTTGAATTAAAAACAAAGTAAATAAGGCTGAACTAGTGATGTAGCCCAGTACTACAACCAAACCGTGGTACATTTTCAGACAGTTCAGAACACTTTTCCTTGTCTTCTACAGGGTTTTTAATCTGTAACCTATTATTTTATTAACGGACAGTATGAGCACACCCTGAGAGAAGTAATTTGTGGCTATATTCTGTTTTTGGCCCAGCCTCCTTCATCTTACCCTCCAGGTTCCCCTTCAGCGTGTTCAACTTGAAGCCAGTAAAGTTGGCTGTGGTGGGTGTTCCATTTCTGAGTGCAGCAGAGCTGGGAAGGGTGATGCTGTGAGGCCCAACAGCAAAGAAGCTGATGAAGATAGTAATGAGGACAAACATAACCACAAGGAAGATGATGAAGGTGGTTTTGGCGTAGATGTGGGCTCCAACCAGGCACACAAGCAGGCAGAGCAGGGCGATAGCGGTGGCATAAAGCAGCGACCACCAGTAGCCTGACGGCAGGACCTGGTAAAGGGTGCCCGGAGTCCCATCTATGAGTGGACAAGATGTGTGAGGCGTCCAACAGAAGGCCACAAGGGAAAAGACAAAGAAAAGGTTTTGTTAATACAGTACTTAAAAATGAGTCAACAAATATGTTCATGATCATAATGTTATAACAAAACATGAATAGGTGAAGTTTAAAACCTTTTTCACAGGAATAAACTAAAATGACTTTCCTTCAGTAAAACTGTCCTGCAACCAAAACTCACCATTTTGCATGCTTCATTTACCCAGAGTACAATGTCTGAGCTTTGCTCCAGTTTTACACCTATATAGTTGCAGCAGTGACGTGCAGTGAGGTTGACAGCTGGTGAGGCACTAACTCTTTTACTGTCAGATTTACAAATACAAATTGTCTGTTAACAGACAATGCATTATGTTTTATATCTCATATCAGCATTCTTCACACAAACGTGACCCATATTTAATTTGAGGTTAAAATTTATTCCAATTGAGCTTATTTCTAACTAGAAATTATAAAAGTTTATGGTCTTACCTTTACTTGTACACGAAATCCATTTGTTAGCTGGTATGTATTACAAACCCTTTTACCGTTCGAATCCAATATTAAAACAAATGTTCTCAATAAAGAAGATCCTTCTGGACAAAAATGTCCAGACTGTCAAAAATGTTTTGATTGAAAGTCCAGATTTGCGAATTTTCTCAGCTTGGAAAAGTAATCTTCCATTTTGATAAGGCGGTTGCAGTATATGCATTCCCTCGTCAAAAATCACTGTATATAAACAAAGCTAATATTACTCGACTTCCTCTAAAAAACACCTCAACAAATCTTATGAGAATGTAGGAATGGTTATGAAAACAAGAAACGCTGACATGTTTTCATCCAGAACGCAAAGACATGCCGATATGGAGCCATTTTACAAGCTGTTAAAATCAAACTCACCTTCTGGCACTCCGAAGGTGGCCACGATGGCCTCAACCAGACCCAGCACATACAGAGCGCTGCCGCACACATTAGCCAGGAAGAACATGATGCCGATGCTGCCACCAAACTCTGGACCCAGCGCTCGGCTGATCATGTCTGAGTGAAGTTAAGGCAAAGTACACTTGTTTTGTTGTGAAAACAAACACAAATAGTTTTTAGGACCTTGCCATCACTGACATAAAGATGTTTTCAGTGGACGCCTCTTTTATAAGTGGTTAGTTTCTGGTCAACTTAAGCTTTGCTTAGGGAAAAAAAGAAAGGAGCAGTCTGACATTTTGTAAAATTCACTTACAGTAATTTGCTTTCTTACTATGGAGGTAGATAAAAAAATAAAAAAATAAAAAAATACCACTTGTCAGATATGAAGCTACAGCCAGTAGATGGTTATCTTGGCTTTGCCTAAAGGCTGGAAACAGAAAGAAATAACAAATAAACTGTTCAAAGGTTAAATAGTGGCCTTTCTGCCAGTAAGGCCAGTTTTAATAACTGAAGCCGCTGTCTCTTGACCAGTGATGTACTGAGACAGTCGTATGCTGACGTCCTGTGATGGTGGTTTGTGTGAACAGGATACAGTAGGCTCCCCCAGCATCCAGGGCGCCATTGGTGGAGATGGCACAGACTGACAGCACGGTCATAGAGATGATGAAGTAGGCCACCAGGAACATGGCGATACTTTGGTACAATCCAGACTGTCCCACTATAAACCCTGTACAGACGAAACACAAGAACAGTAAGACAAAAAACTGAGGATCCACTGGGTGAAGGAATAAGTTTGACGTTGGCAGGAAAAGCCTGTCTGGCAGAAAGAGGAACTGAAATTTTCTTGGACAGAGCCCACAACACAGTACAGATGATGTGAGCTTTCGGTGTAGCGCAAGACCCACAATACACACTGGTTGCAGTTTATGGTGCATACATTTCTGAAAAACATCATTTAAAAAAAAAGTACACACAGTGACTCATCACAAGAGTCCAGCCTCTCAATGTAAAACTGAAATCTCCTGTTGAAAATGACTCTAGGTTCCTCTTCATGTCTTTAGTGCTTACATATGTAATTATTTGCACCAGAAAATGCCCAGTTCCTAAATAAATACTTACATTTTCAAAGAGAGGTAAACAAGAAAGAGAAATAAAGGATCTGGCTATGTACTCTATATAGCAGGTGGAGTAAAGTGTTGATCTTAAGTGGGTCAAAATTGTAAGATATAATTTTGCTCAGATTTTTAAAATTAAGAGTAAGTGACATGCAAAATGTTATTCAGACTTAGTTTAAACTCCTGAACTAATGAGAAGAGCTCCACATGATTCCTCAATCAGTTAGGAGTGAGCAGTAGAGGCAGCTTTCATATTCATGATGAAAACGATGACGAACAATGACGACTAAAGATGAGACGCTACCGATACAACATCAATGTGCAGATGTACAAAGGAAATAAAATAGCTGTTTAAAGCTAGAAAACATTTAAATAAATTGTGGGTGGTGGTAAAACAACTCCAAAAACATTCTACAAAACAGAAAAAAAGGTATTAAATCTTAGTAAAACATTATGATCTCTCCTTGTAAAAGATTAACTAGCAGTAACGTTTCAAAGCTGCACTTTAACCAACATCACTTGTATCATTCTCTGGAAGTATGTTTATACCTGTGTATACAAACAGCTAAAATTAAAACTATGACAATTAGTATGTAGTACATAGTGTATAGCCTTGAGTAGACAGTGTAGTGTGGATTTGGGATGAAGTCATGACACATCACCTGAAAGGCAACATTATTTAATTCAGTGTCTGAAGGAAGACATTTCTTAAGTTAAGTTAAAGTTAATTATTATTATTATTATTATTATTACTTAGTAACAACAATAAAATTAAGTTTGGCAACACTCTCATACATCGGCAAAAGTACCAAATGACAATATAATAAAAGCACAGGAAAAAAAACAAATAAATAAAAAAAATATAAAAACACTTTTAAAATCCTGTATAAAACCACATTATTATGTTATACAATAAATAATTATATCTAGATGATAGCATTATTATACCTATGACTATGATAGCAACAATGCAAGCCATAAGCAATAAGTATGCAAGCCAGACCTAGTTATTGCACTTTCCATAATCCATGATACCTCCCTCCATGGAACAAAACCAAGTTATTACACTCATATGTTAAGGGCAGAAACCGATGGTGTAAGAGATTTCACGGCTTGAGGATAGAAGCTATTTTTGAATCTATTAGTTCTGGATTTGATCACTTTGTACCTTTTCCCAGAGGGCAATAGGGTAAACAGCCCGTATCCAGAATGAGTATTGTATCTGGCCTTTTCTGTATAAATATCACTGAGGGGGGGGGGAAGTGGTGAGCCAATGGATTTTTCTGCTGCTCTAACCACCCGCTGTAGATCTTTCCTGTTTTCTACTGTACAGCTACTAAACCATGTGGTGCAGCAATAGGTCAGAATGCTCTCTATTGCTGATCTATAAAAGTTTATCAATGGAGTCTGGGGGAGGCGGGCGTTCCTTAGTTTTCTGAGGAAGTACAGATATTACTGTAGTCCTTACCAGCAATACTTTTATGACAAAATGTTGAACTTTAGGACAATTCCTGATACTATAGAGGCGTTATAGGCTAGAGTACGGATCAAGAGCTCAGAGTCAGTTTGACAGTTTTCTATCTGGGTGCAATTCAAGCAGCCCTCAATAAATAAAGCCTGATACACTTCCCTAATATAATATGCACAAACATGTTTTGTAACCAAACTAGTTCAACTGCTATGGGTGATTAAATCAACTAAACTCTCACATCTGCTCTTTGTAGTTAAAGTGTGGGAGAAGAGGTCAGTGTTACTTTACATCATGACAATGTTCTGCTGCTGTGACCTTTCACTGTATCTAGTTATGTACTGTATAATGACTACAACTAGCAGCATAGTTTCTTGATCTCCTTTTATCAGCAGCAGTGCTTTGGCCATGATCACAAAGAATTGGACCCAAGATCTCATCTCAAATATTCTAAGTTAGTTAGAAGGCATCAAGCACAGTTTATAAATGTATTTTTTAAATCTACGTTTTGTTTTAGCATTAACTACTATCTTAAGAAACCTTGAAAAACTTTGAAGCACAAAGTTGGTTGACTAGGATACATTAAGGGATAATAATAAATGTATAACTGATTGACTTTAAAAAGTCTTTTCATGCACACATTTAAGATGCATTTACAATAGTTTCATATCCACAATGAAACCACTGTTAATTCCTGTGTAGAGTGAAAAGTCACAGTGCAAGAATAGCAGCCTAAAGATCTACACACACCACCTACTACGTGTGTGTCCACTGCGCAGCAGCTGACATCTCACGAGACTTGGGGCCAGGGGCAGGGGCAGAGGCAGGGGCGGGCGACTTCGGTGTACAAAAGGGAGAAAAGCACACTACAGGCACAACACTCACATAAGTGATAACAAACAAGAGATGACACAGTTAAGTCTGGTTTTTGTGCTTCTCAATTGGCAGTGGTCTCTTTGTGTGCCCTGGCAGCAGAAATGTGAAACCTGGGTTTGACAGTTGATTACTAGATTCACATTAGCATTTTTCAGTTGCTCCATTCACACGGACCAAAATTACTTATTAACATGTCCTACAAGCAAAATGTCACATTTTCTTTGTATCACTAACACTGGGCTTGTTAAGTTCATCCCTTCCTGTTCATGTGTCCATTCAGCTGGACAAATTATGTCAACCTCAATTTTCAGAAACCATAGTGTATGATGTTAACAAGCTTCTGCTGAGATTACAGCACTTTTGCAAGAGAAAGTGAAAAAATATTTGACAATTACCCAACAAAATAAGTAAGGAGGGAAATGCTCTCCTGCTCCAGGGGAAAATTCACCCTCGCAGGTCACAGTTACATGCAAAACTGCAGAAGATGTTGAGGGCTTTAATATAAATGGTTGCCTATAAATTAATCCAGGTGCATCTGCTGGTGGTATTTTCACTGAACTAAATGTTAGATTTTCTGATAGGATACAGATTGGACTCACTTTGCACTTCACACAAACAGGTGTCTGAAACCTAAAGTAAAAACTAACCACCTCAGAAATGGTTTTTTAATCCCTCTGCAGTTCATTTGCTTCTCACTCTAGATCACTTTTATAAAAAAGTGCTGAATTAATCAGTTAAGCAAGTAAGTATAATGTTATCAAGCATTTGATTTAAATACAGGCAGCTTTTTAAAGTAGCTTACACTGCTCACTAGTGCCCTCAGTGATTAATCTGACAGATTAACAAGGTTAATATTACATAAAAGTCAAATGTGATGTCTGACTTGTATACCGACACAACCGGCGGTTCCTAAAATCACCAGTGTTATATTTTACAACTGAAACCTTGGCTTAAAAAAAGCAAGGAGGCATAAATATCAGAATTTGGACTGGGGTTTGGCGTGCATGTGTTGTTCAGAAATCATAAAACGGTGTGCACTGATTTACTGACATCTTTCTTCATCAGCACTCACCGATTCTGAGAAAGACTACCACGCCGAACATTGACAGCAAAGTGGGGATCACCACGCCGAAGAATGTGGAGAGTTTCTTCGGTTGCCGTTGATGAGCACACCTCTGCCTTGGGCTTCCCGGGCGCTGTTCCGGGGCCTGGACGCTCGACGGGGACCGCAGCTCGGATTCATTGACGCTGGTGGAGAGACGGTAGTTGAGAAGAGGATTCCGCTCTGTCATATCGGAACCTGCCTCTGGACACGTCTCACTTCAGAAAGTACTCTGGATAATTTCAGAGGGAGCTGTCACTAATCGCCAATATCTCCGACACAATAAAGGTGTTCAATGCTCTACTTTCGGATTAAGTTAGCTAGTTTAGTTAAGGTTCATCAGTGACGCGTCCTGGGTCCTGGCTGCCGACCTGTAAAAAGTCAACCGTACCTAGCTACATAGCTAAGCAGTCAAGTGCTTTTGTCATTAATAAAATTACCTAAAATAAAACAAACGCTGTAAACGTGCACATAAAAACAAGCAGTCCGTTTATATAGCATTAAAACTTCAATCAGTAGCTCGCGCACAACCCTCACATCTAGCCACTAAGGCTCTTAATGAATCGAACGTTATGTGACGTATCGACGTTAACTCGCCTCAATCACACATAGAGCTTCCGTTTATAACTTTCAGAATAAAAGCTACTAGCAACTTAGTAAAAAAGTGCAATATACAGTCCGTATTTTATTAGGGGGATTATAAAGCAAACACAAATTCAGCTGCTTTTATTATCATAATACATATCCTGCATAACATAGACTAGCATACTGTAACACCAGCTGGGTGAAGAAGGGTCAGGGACCAGGGCATTTCTTTTTCTCATTTTCAGATCAACTAGAGCACACTCTCTGAACACACAACAATCGGGTCAACTCACAACCATATATACAGTAGCTGCCCCAGAGAGGCATTATGGGGGATCCCGCCAGGTGCTTCTCCCCATGGGCATCCTGTGGACCCCACCAAAGTGTCTCTCCATCCTCAACGCTACACAGCCCCCACCTGGCTAGTTAACTATCCTCAGTAACCACAGTCATAGCAAAGTCCTTTAAGCACTGGGGGGCTGCGCTGGTGCTGAGGTCACTCTGGTGGCTCCTGGGCAGCTGGTGGAGAGGGGTCTGGGGCTCATGGAAATGGCTGGCAGGGCTGCTGCCTGTCGTGTGGTGATGTCCTGGTCCTTGGAGTACCAACCATGCTTGTGCTTCTTCCTTCTATAGCTAGGGTCCATCTGCCACAGCCGGTGCTTCAGCCTGGGCGAGCACCCTGCTGTGGTCATGGGGATGGTGTGTAGACGCGGAGTGCTCCTGAGCTGCTCTGACCTGAGCCCTAGGAAGAAAGATTGGAGGGCAAGCTCTTCCAGCATGGTGTTGTCAAATGTTGGGTACCCACGCTGTACATAGGGGCAAAGGTCAGTGGCATAGGCACCCAGTGTCTCTGGGGCCTTTTTGGAAGATCCACGGCATCTGATCAAGATGTACTGGCACAAGTATTGTTTGGGTGTGTCCATGTTCATTTTGGTAATTTGCTGATGAGGATAAATGGTTCAAGGGTCCGTGCAAGTAGCAAAAGGGTTGTACTTGATCTTCTCATTAAAGCAGGGAGGTGTTTTGGCTTTTGTTTGTTAGTGGTGCAGTCACTTTGTGCGCTCTCATATTACCAGCATGCCCAAAATTTACCTGGAAACACTCCATTTTCATCTGGAGACACCTGCCTGCGCAAAGTCGACAGAGTGCTGCTTGGTAAAAAAGCAACGTGATGTGCATATCATGAAAATTGTAATTGCACAGGTAGGAAACTGGGAAAGACAGACACCCTGAGATGATTTTTGTTGTAATTTGGGACTATACAAATAAATTTGAATTGAACTGAATTAAATTGAATTGCTTCACACATTATGGGCCTAATACATCTTACTGGTTTTGAAATAAATCATACAACTTCCAGTTCTGTCTTGCCAATTTGTCTCTCTATGTAATTTGACAAATATTTCTAGCACCTGTATTTCCCAGTGTTTTTCAGTTCCCCTGTTTCTTGCTGTATTTATACTTTAGGCCACCTGTTAGTTGGAACTGCTTCAAATTAGACATAATTACCCTCTTTACTGACCTGTCATGCCATCTAGAAACAAACAACTAGTAGAATTAGTATAGGCTATCTGGTGAGCAGCAGTGCCATTGTGTGGACTATGAATACAGTGCAATTGTAAAAGTTTTATGAGATCTGTTCTGACATGTTCCTTCTTTTCTTTCACTTCTTTATTGTCAATGGGCTTTTGTTTCCGTAGACATGACCGATTTAACACTATGATAAAAATGATCAAAATAATCCAGAAGAGTGTAACAGTGTAGTGGCCTGCCTAGCAGTGTCTATTGACTTTTTTAAACATTAGAGCTATACTGTATTATTGGATAAACACTTCAATTAATGCATGTGTATTAGGCTATATACAGTGTTGATATACCGTATTTTAAAAAAGAGAGCATACAAAGTAAATGCCTTCTGTGTACATACAGTACATTCATACAACTTGGATTTTCAACACTGATATTTCTTATGATATCAGACAAAGCATGTCATAATTTAATTATGCATTTACGGATTTACTGTAGCAGTAGAACACAACAGTTTCCCTGTTTGAGACTCTACACAGTTTAACAGTTGACTTTCACATCATCAACAGTGAACCAGGAGTAAATGTTGGCATTTGGTTTAGCTTTAACACAATCACAAAGTGTATTAGAGCTGTACTGGCTTAATATTTTAAAGATTTTATTGGCATTTACATGCAAATAAAGTACATTTCTCCTCCTTCTCCACACAGTCAAAGATGAAAAAAGAGATAAGCAGACCCATGTGAGCAGTTAACTGTAGAATCCAACACAGAACATCTCTCATCCAGCTCCCACAGAGGGTGCTACACTCACTAATTTGCTTGTACATTGCGTTACTACCAACAGCACTGCCTTGATATGCTCATTTTAGCACTAGTATAGTGCAAGTTACAATGTCATTGCACAATAACATTTCCTGACAAGGAAACAAATGATTGTGGGGGGTCTGACATAAAGCCAAGAAAAGAAAACAGCATTCCAACCATTTTAGTTTCAATTGAAAGATGTTGAACCCCTATTAGTAAAAATGTCTTGGCACTAATAGTTGATTGCTCATTATGTCTTTGTAATTACTGACTATAGTAACCCCATTTCATGTGGTTATACTATACCTTTGAATCTAAAACAGGGACATATTACTTTCAATACAAATACCTTCACCTGAGTACCAGCAATGTTGAGTTAACTCTTGTACCTTTGGTGTAGCCTTGCAACCAAGGATGGCAATGAAGGTTTGTAGGTTGGTCCATGTTTACTTTAGTCCAGACTAAAATATCTCAACATTAACAGGTGGATTTCAATGAGATTTTTATAAACCTCAGTGGATGACTACTACTGACTTTGATTTATGACCAAATACCTGCTAAACTAATAACATTCCCACCAGCCCCAGTTGTACTATGAGTATACAGGTACAGTAATTAGCCAATGTTAGTGCTAACACAAGATAAAGATGGTTAGCACAGTTAGCATCTACTAAACATCAGCATGTTACTCTGAGCATGCTAACATGCTGATGTTACACCTCACAGCACCAAATGTGAGCCTTCACGGGGAAGACACAGAACAAGTATGCAGACAGTTTAAAGAGACTGGTTGAACAGTCTCAGTCTTGGTAGGTTAGCAAACATCAACTTATCTTGAGTAATGTTTCTTGATAGGATGAACTTACTTTTAGAGATAGATTCAAGAACTTTATGGCATGCCAAACAGATAGATAGATAGATAGATAGATAGATAAATCAGTCTGCAATGATGTAAATGCATATTTATAAAGAGGTGAAAAAATAAAAATTGACTCAACTTACTCTCTAGCTACTTCTACCTCCTTTGGCCACTGGCTGGTGGATGCTGTCATCCATCTTTGTATCTGTAAACATCATAACCACCAATAATTTTCACCACAACGCCTCATGCAAGTCCTGGCCCAGTCCTTCCTTCTGGGCTCTTCATCAAAATGACAGAACCTCTCAGTCCACATTGTGCCGTTCCACTCCTGATGACTAGTTGTGTCTTGGATTAATTATTAGGCAACACAGCGCAGCTGTACTACTAAGCTAATTTGCATTTGTCAAATTAACCTCAAGGTCCTTTAGTATTGGTTGACCTGTGTTCTGCTTTGCACATACTGTCATGAAGGTCAGTAGCAAGACGCTCCAGTTTTTTGCTGAGTAGCCGTCGGTACTGTTCCAGTACTTCCTTCAGGCTGGTTTGGTTGAAGCAATACTGTATTACAGAATGGTATGTGCCATTCTGTAAGGACCCAAAGAAAAATGATATAAATATACACTAAATGATAGGGTTTAACAGGCATGTAGTGTTTGTCTGAACCAGTACAGACATTTATCAATGAAGCATTATGTGTCTGTGAATTGTTTTGGAGGCTACAAGGTTTCTAATTAGCCCTATTAGGTGTAAACAGCACAGTTTTGTTCAACTGTGAACTGTCAATTACTTGATGATCTCTATTATAAATTACTTACATGAATATGTGAATATTGACTTAAGAATTATTTACTTATGTAATCTTTTTTCTTTCTTTCTTTATCGAATGGATTAATATCTATAGTATCAGGTCAGCATAGTGGTTTTCAGTATGTGTGTATAGTGTGTTTACAGCAAGGAAGAGCAACTTTGTATGTGTTTGCAGCTGTTCAAGTTCATGTGCCTCACCTGTATATGAAGCCTCTGGACAATGTCCACATCATTTCTGATGTGACTCTCCAGTTTCTTCAGTAGTGAGGTCTGACATTGCAGTGTGGTCTGCTGCTTACTTGCCTCCTGCACTCTGTCCTGAAAACCCTGGAGGGCCCCCAGCACCTCCACACTCCTCTGCTGGAGCTGGCCGAACACACACATAAACTATCACAGTGTTGCTGTGACATGACATTAACTGATTTAATAAGTGCAACAAGGTATTCAGACTGCATTGAAATTTTCTGCTGTCTCAAATATTCGAACACTAAAACTGAAAACCGATTATCCATCCAACGAATGAATATCCAAATAGTTGAATATTTGGGTCCAAGCCAAAATGTTAGCATACAAACATTCTCTAATTTGAACTAAAAACACAGTATTAATTACATTTCAACTTAAAATGATGCATTTTGTTGTAACACGATACAATGTTTCATCATTTAACATTTTATAAGCACAGAGGTTGCCTGAGTTTGATTTAATATTCTATGTGCCAGATGGGATATATTTACATACTTTATATTTATCCTGGCATTTCTTGTGTGCCTAATGAAGCGCACAGGGTGTGATGCAGTGGTTAATTGCAGGGTGACTGTTGTGTTAAGGTACATGCCAGGGTTTCCAGTCATTAAAGTGTATCCATAAAAGCTTAATATGAACCTGATGGCAGGAAGATGCAGGTCTTAAGCACCTTACCAATTTTCATTTTTAGAAGAAAAGCAGATTTTGTTTTTGTCTTTAATTTTGCAATACATGACGGGAGTTGTTAATTAGTCCCATAATTTATGAATTAATTTACGACCAAACATAAAAACTAATAACATTTCCATCAACCTTGGCTGTGCACTGTGTCCAATTCTAATTAAAGCTGCAGTATGTAACTTTTTCTAATATTTTTGTTGTAGAAATATGGTCCAAAACTTAATGTGGAGAGGTGCTGTCGAAGCCTCCTGTGACCCAGACTCACTGAACAGCACTGGCAACAGTGCAGAGATAGTGGCTTCTAAAAGGTTTTGAGCATATTGATCTTTCTAAACAATCAGAGATTTTCAGTTATTTCTGCTTGATTAGTAAGTTTAGTTGCATTCTCATTTATTATAATTTCATAACAACAAATATCTGAAGAGCTGAACAGAGTGTGGCAGGAGTGTAGTAGATCAGAGAGCACAGTGGAGCAGGGAGAGGGAGTGCTGCATGGAGCAGAGTGAGCTGGTATGGAGCTTCATGCTAGCGTTAGCTTAAGTTACATATTGTAGCTTTAATAAATGTTAGCATACTAACACACTAAACTGAGACAATGACCATGGTAAACATTATAACTGCTGATTATCCACATGTTTCCATTGCCTTTGTTGGCATGTTAGCATGCTGACAGTTTAAACCAACTTTATGCATGACAGGCAAATAGAAGGCATGTGCATGTGGATGTTTGGTATTACTTACAGTTTTATTTGCCCATTCTGCTGGGTGTACCCAAACACATGGTATCTGGATGGGAGAGGGCAGTGTCTCTGAACCCACGCAGTCAGCCTGAGTGCATGACCAAAGTTTTGCATGCAGGTTTTTTTTTAAAGCAACAAAGAAATTCACTACAGTCTCAACATTCTTTTTATTTTTGCCTCATAAAAAGTGAACTTTGATATGATGTTAGGTTGTTTTCATATTGATGTATCTATCTGTCAATAGTTCACAATGTGTGAACTTCATTAAATCAATATTATTAATATCAATATTATCTGCATTTTATATGTATTGTATGTAAAGTGTATTGAGACATTGTTTGACAATACATTGTGACTGATTGACTGATTGATTGATGCATGATTCATTTTCTCACCATATCTTTCTTCAGCCCCTCAATCCTATTTGTTCTACTTTTCCTGTCTTGATTGTTGCACCAGAAGTCAATGGGTCTGCCCTGGGCTTTGTGTAGATAGGAGGAAATCAGTCCTATCAGCAGCAACAGGAATCCTAAAAGAACACACACTGGAGATGACTAACAAGCTGCCATCTAGCTGCTTTATGCAGCAGCAACCAGAATTTTACTAGTATGCATTTTTGTTTTTATTTTTCCCTCCCCTTTGTTGTTGTTAGCCCATTTGCTGTTAAATGGCATGTATAGCATCTCATCTGTTATCTGTCCTCATGTTATGGCAAAATTTCACCCACAGGTTTTTTGCCATGACAAGTTCCACAAGGTCATCTAACTCCATTCATCATGTTTGGTGCCCACATATTCTTTGACTTTTACACAGTGGCAGGTGAAATTTGCAATCACTTGGAAGAAGAAAAGTATCAACTGTCTTCAGCTATGCAATCCTCTAATGGACTGAAGCATTATATCAAAGCAGTAGTTCTAACGTTAGCATTATATCCAATAGTCAACAATATGCTTACATACAAGTGACATGTTTATACCACTGTAAGTATGTATTAACCACAGTGACACCAGATCTCCCTCTGTGCAAATACAATTTGTTATACAGAGACTGGATCCAGACAGCCAACTTACTGTTATAAGCCATAACCCGCTTCTGGGTACATAGTGTCCCTCCGCTGTGGTCTGTCAACCCACATCTTTCTTTCAGTTAGAAAATTATTGTGTCCAGCAGAAATTCTATTGTCTGTCCATAAATCTCAGGCTGAGTTATGATTCATAGGTTCCAGGTCTGCTGAAAGCACCATTTAGCAGTTTCCTCTTTAAATAGTTATTTAATAAACTGACGGATCTGATGACGTGGTGTGGTCACACTAAACTATGACACACAAAGAAAGTTTTTAGAGCAAGTAGGCTTTGTATTTGACTTAGCCCAAAGTTAATGTTTGACTCTAGATCCTCAATGCAAATAAGACAAATGAAGCACCACGTAGACCAAGACAGCACTAGCCCCAGGACTCTGTCTCATAAAGTTCTTGATTTTTTTTTTGTTCACGTCTGTGGGTTTCAGTCCATCTATCAGTTGACAGCTGTGACATATGTGAATACAACAAATGGTTGTATTACAACACAGATATAACACTTCTACTACTACTCCCTCTGCTTATTCCCACTCTTGTGTAATGTGTACTCAGGTGTGTAGGCATAGATCAACAAATAAATGATGCAATTTGATGATGTTTCTCCAGAGAAAATATTTGGTCAATTTTATGCTAAGCAAGCAACATAAGCAGAACTCATGAATCATCAATTACCTGTACTGCTGAAAAGTTATTAGTTAAGTCAGTTTCATTTGTATAGCCCAACAAGACAAATTAGTATCACAGGGATTTAAAATCTGTAATTTACAGACTACATTATATTAAAAGGTGTTCCTAATATTTTGAACCTCTCATGTATGTAGCTGTGGAGGACAAAAATATAGAGACACCTCTAAATATAACGTAGTCTGGTACAAGACCATCGCTTTTAAATGGGAAACCACTAATACTGTCTCATCTTGTTTTATGAAGGTCACTGTTGTATCATCTAAAACTTTCTGACTTTGGTTGTCTCAAATCAATTTGACCTCAGGCAGTACTGCTTGCCACTATGCCCTCACCCCAGCCACTGAAGAATAAGCATAGAAATGCTCTACTTGTGTAAAAAACTTTCAAATAGGAACCTTAATAGAAGGTGTTTACTACTGTTTCACTTTATATTGGTAAATTAAATTATATAGTGCATTAAGCAGTGAGGTGCACTCAAAGCACTTTACACAACGTGTGCATTTGGCACACAATCCTTCACATAGTCGCGCATTGATGATATCACCAGGAACAACTTGGGCCTCAGTGCCTTGCCCCGGGACACCACGACTTGTGGATTGAAGAAGCCAGGGATTGAACCACCAACCCTACAGTTAGGGGGCCACCTGCTCCACTTCCTGAACCACTGCCATCCACAACTGCATTATGTTTATTTTAAAATCAAAGAGGAAAATGTAGCTGTCAGATGAGCCATGACAGACATCACTGGTATCGTGTCGCACAAGGCTGTGACCACAGATACAGTATGCTGTTCTTAGCAATTACCATGAGTGCAAAGAGTTTATGCATGTTCTCAGGAACAGCAACATTCAGCTTCAGTTAATGCTTTTGTACCTGATCACAAAATCACACTTGCCATTCAAATCACACTTTTCTTTTTTTCTTATCAGATGAGCCACCTAGAAAGTGCTACATTGTTTTACTATTCATACATTTTGGAAGTGATCACTACACTGACCTCCACAGTGTAGACAAGGTGCGGGGGACTATCTCACCAGCACTGAATTATAAATTATACAATGCATTCACATCATGTAGCCCTGAAAGTGGACCATGTACTGCTAATCCTCTGTAAGAGAGGCACAGCTGAACATGAGAGCAGAGCATCTGGGAAAACGTGTGTGTTTGTTATTTTGTTGTCTTTACACTTGTGTCATAGAGGTTTTGTCTAAGTGTTATGGCTCATGCTCATGGCATTAATGAGCTCTTTGTTAATATTTAAATGTGTATGTGTGTGCACAAGCGTTCTTTACAGCACATTATCTTGCACTTGTGTGTCTTTACGAGAAGAGCCATTACCATGGCAACCCCAAGCAAAAAGTAGCCCTTAAAAGGCTGGGCTCCTCTTTCTTTCCCTGTTGCTCTCTTTCTTTTGTCTACACTCAGTCCATTGTGCCTATTTCACCCACAACAGTCAGCTGGGAAACAGAGATGATGGCACAACAGGTGGATATCTGTTCAACAGTGTTCTTCACATCCTGCAGCTTTTGGTCTGCTAGAGAAGACTGGACTTGATCATTTCTGCCACTGTGGACTTCTCTACTCACTAGAACATGCTTGTGATTTTCTAGCAACAGGATTTCTTGATGCCTCGGTGTCTCCTCTCTGAGAAGTGATTGTTGAAGCTGCTTCTAGTCTGACTGAGGCCAAACTCACTGAAGAAGATAGAAGGATATACACAGTCAGCTTCACAATCTGGATTTTTTTCATGGACTCTTAAACCGAAAGCATAATTGGATAAAATAAAGTATCTATAAAAAAAGGTGAGGTCATCAAAGAAGTAATGACATGTAACAACGTTATTTAATACTCAGTAATGGCACTCAAGACCTTTTTGCCCCAAAGAAGGCACAGAGAGTTGGATGTGGGAAAGTCTGAAAGGGAGGAAGATGAGGAAGAAGACACTGACTGTTTGCAGGAGTTCTCCCGCTGCCCAGTTTGTAACCAAGAATATGATGTCACCCTGATCCTTCCATGCTCTCACACCATGTGTGGTCACTGTATAGCAGCTGGTGGGAGAACAAGTTCAGGTCAGTTTCTCCGCCGTGGTGTCAGCCTGTCTGTTTGCTCTGTGCTGTGCCCCTGCTGTCGACATCCTGTGGAGCTGCCATGTTGGACCTGGTCATCTGCCACTTCTTGTCTGCCAAATCATCCCACGCTGAGTCCTGAGTATGTCAGGGAGACAGGCACCAAGGAGGGATCATCTGCAAATCATCTTCAACATGTGCAGGTTGGAAATTCACACTGAGACAGAAATGTGCAGGGAAACAAAGAAGGTGGCACAATCTTTAAGGATATAAGTTTACAGACAAGAAATTATGAATAGTGTGATATAATTTTTCATTGTATAAATATGTACATGCCACAACTGCAAGGTAAACTAAATATGTACAAATTATAAAAATAATAGACTGGCAGTCAGTTTAGAAATTCTACTAATGGGTGGTAAAGCACTGTCATATCTGAAAGGTAACTATGGAGCTACACCAAACAGCTGGTTAACTTTGAAAACAGGGGGAAACAGCTGCCAGGCTCTGTCCAAAAGTACAACAACTGACCTAACAGCACCTGTAAAGCTCATTAATTAATTTCTCATTTCTTGATTACAAAAAGCTACATTGTCCACAAAATAACAAGAGTTTTGGTTTCATATCAAACAAAATGAGATATGGTGTGTTTATTAGTGATTGTTTGTGGTGCTGGTGCAGTAGGTGCATTCAGTAGTTGAAAGAGCCAGGCTAACTGTTTCCCCCTCTTTTCAGACTCCACACTAAGCTAAGATCATCTAATCACTTGGTATCAGTCTTCTCATCTAACTCTTGGAAAAATATCAAGCTACTGTATTATTTCAAGACAAGAGTAAATTCTATTTGCATAGAAGCGCATTCCATTTTCTTGAAAAGACTATTTTCAGTTAAGTCTTACTGTATAAATAAAAGTGCAGGTGCATTCATTTTGGTCTCATGAAATTAATTTTAATGCTATGTGACTTATGTTCCTGGGCTGTGGATTTAATGCTTGTTGCTTCTATTTTTGATTTCATCCCTCCACTGTCCCTATATTTACAGAGGGACACACATTGCAGCGACACAGTTAAAGAAACAACGCAGCGCTGTGTACTCGGTGAGTGTGGTGATGAACTGATAATGCCGATCAGTTTCTAAAAAGTCATCAAAGGATCCTCACTGTCAACATCGATAGCTATAGTACTGAGTATACTCTTCCTATCTGACCAGACTGCAATCCTGCCACTTCCCTAGTAACACTGGCAGATGGAGCTGTAGACCTGCGAGAGGAGGAGATGGAGCAGTCTGTCTTTGGTAGGGACCAAACAAAACCCATTCAGAATAGGTTTAGGTGTATAGAAGCTCAGTGATTGGTTATTTAAAAACCTTAAATATTCTCCTCTTACAGTCACTTCCTGTCTCTCTTAGGTCTATGTTTTGCTCTGGACCTTTCCAGTGCTCCTCCATCTCTCAGTCTTTCCAACTCCTCCCTCACTGTCACCTACCAAGGACTGAGTCACCCCAGTACACCTCCAGACAACAAGGTCAGGAGGCCAACAGTGACCTCTGACCCTAGGTTCTTGTTGCCTCTCCCACAGGTTTGCGCTGATGTTGTCATTGCACGGGGGCAGTATTACTGGGAGGTGGATGTCTGCAACAGCTCCATGTACAGGATTGGTAAGAACTGTCTTGAATTTGTTTTGGTTGATTTGATGCCAGTTCACTTATTGTTTCCAGAAGCCCTCACGATTAGTCAGCAAGACTGTGCTCGTTCATATGCACACTCATATGAAGACACAGACACACTTGCAAACACACATACACAGCTTCATAGTTCATAGTGTCACCAAGCGGTTAGAATACTGACAGGCCATAGATCATTGGTTAAGCAATATTGGAAAAAGTGATTTCCATTCATAGTGTTTTGTGAATTTACTGGACTACATTGTCCTAACAGGGTAATCCATCTAATAGGGATGTTTCACAAAAAACCACAAATGTCAGCACAGTGGCGCTAAAGGAAATAAAAAAATCCGAGGACCACCAAAGTCAGTAGGATTCATTCTCTGGAAACTGTGAATCTCTGTACAAACAGTCCATTCAGTGGTTATAAAGTTTCACTTTTCACTTTCAGGTGTGATTTCATCAGATGGTCATGGTGGCTGGTGGCTTGAGAGACAGGGGATGTCTTTTTATGCAGTGTATGATGGGAGCTTAGAGCCAGTATGCACTGTCCCACCCCAGATCAAAACGCTTGGGGTCTTCCTAAACATTGGAGGGGGGACCCTAAGCTTCCACAACCCTCTGACCCAGGAGCACCTGGTCACACTGCCTACCTCCTTCAGCCCCGCTGGAGTGCTCCCGGCTTTGGGACTGGGCCACGGTCGACTGAGGCTGCGCTGCGGCCTGCCTCCTCCTCCCCATGTCTTCCTCAGTAGGGACTCAGCCTACAGGAGGCCGTGCGGGGCTGGAGTAGGCCGTTGGTGCAGGAAGATTCCCTTCCAGTCTGTGAAGAAAGTGATACAGAAGTTTGAGGAGCTGGCAGTGTCAGACTCTGACTCAGGCCTGGTGTCCAGTTATGGATTGTCCTGCTCCACCTTGGCTTCCCTTTCAGATCTAAGGATTCCTGGATTGTTTCCCTCTGGGGAGGCAGGACAGGAAACTGGAGCAGAATGAGAAGAGCTTTTGAAACTTTCTCTCCATTGGTAACATCACAAACAGTCCCACTGTTCTATTAAGTGGTTTGATCTCTGTCTGTCATTTGAAAAGCTAATTTTTCATTTTGAAGGACTTTTGGCTGACTCTTTCACCCTGCATGACCCCGGTCCGGCAAATTGACTCTCTCCCCAGGACACAGGCCTTACTCTCAGCCAAACAACCCCCACTGGTTTGGGCTTTCGGGCCAGAAAGGGTCCTCTATAATGAGAAGTGTGAGGAGAGGGTGGGCTTTTAGCAGCAGGACTCCTTGATTGGTCTCTGTGTGATGTTTGTCAGACAGTAGGGGTTCAACTGTAGTAGTGCACACATTACTGCATGTGCGTATGTGAGTGCAAGCACTGCTCCAAGTGTGTGCATTTGCTCAGTCACGCATACATTTTGGTGTGTGTGAGCAAGCAAGAACAATGTACAAGCGGCAGGGCGTGAGATGACGAGGTGCTAGTACAGTGACACAAGCAGTGTTGACACAGAGCAGGGGGACAGGTGGTAACATGAGTTTATCCCGCGGCCGGCCTTTGGTAGAACAGTAGGGCTGCTCTTTTCTGACCCTTTGAAAAACACCGGACATCCAAAGACTTCAAAAGGGGTGACAAAGAGCGGGGGAAAGGTGAGGGAGAAAGAGAAAACAGTATGCATGAATAAAAAAACAGCAGGTGATGAACTGGTACAAAAAAAGAAACAGCTTTCATGATAAGAAGCCCTGAATAGATCAGCGGGCTCAGGCCACACCATCTGAGAGTTGGTTTTAAAGTAGAACTGAGCTGCAGAACACTTTACCTAAGAAATGGGGAGGTTACAGTATAGCAGTAAAGAAGCATCTGTTGTCTTGGCACAATAAATGATAAAATTGGCCCATATTTTTAGTTGAGCACAAATCGTTTTTGGTCAGATGTTGAATTACAGTGGTGTTTTAATATCTTTCTTTCCTAAGCTTTCAGAAGAAGGTCTCTTCTTCACTGGATTTTAGCTCCATACACCCATGGTTTTGCATGTTATGCACAGATTTTGGCAACAATATTATGAAAGCGTAAACATTTCCTCATTTGCTCCTCAATCCTCAGGCCTCCAAGGCCCAGATGAAGAACCACTGATGCCGAGGACTATTTAAACATGGCCCATGTTCATATTGCCTCTGACATCTTGACTTATGGTTAAATAATGAGGGGACAATTAAAGAAATTCCTTTTTTTCTTCTCCTTTCCTGTTCAATGACTGCTTGACTTTTTGGAAAGTTCACTCTCAAAGTATTACATCAGACCACCCAAACTGTGAATCTCAATGTAACAAGACAAATTAAAAACCACCCTGCAGTCAGTCAGAAGAAGCACTACAGTGGCACTTCTGAGGACAAATAATCTGCAGCAGACTCGGGCCAGTTTTCCACTGAGCATCCTTCATTTCATGCATGCATGAAATCAGTTAAGCAGCGAGTCAGACTCGGCAATAACCGTTGAGTCAAAGAGAAGCTTGGGAGACTGTCGCCTTTCAGACCACTCATCAGGGTGACTGTGTGTTGATGTTTAATGGTCGAGGTATTTACCACAGCAGTAAAAAATGCATGTGCTGTGACCGCACTCTGCAGATCTATCGGCTTTTACGTAAATAGTGTGTGGAAGCAATTTGACTCTTGTAAACAGGAATGAGAGGGGTGAAATGCAAATTTAAAAAGGCAGCGGGGAGAGAGAAAGGGGGAGTCTGCCAGGAAGTACATCTCTGAGGTACTTTTAGGCCTTCTTGAGTATTATTTTAATTATATGTTTATTCAAGATATGTATTCAGATGGTGCACTGTGTTGCGTTTTATTCTATTGCTTTATTATTTTTAGCTTATTTTACTTCATTAAATGCTATTTCTGTCTTTTTATACAGTCATGTTTCTATGACTTTCATATAAAGCACTTTGAACTGTGTTGTTGTTGAAATGTGCTATTCAAAAAAACTTGCCTTGCCTTTAAAGGCTGTTTGTGTGTCACTACATTTTCAAGCGATGTGTTTTTATACGCTTTTTGCTCCTTCAGTTTCTTCTTTAGATGAATATTTACATTTGTGCTTCTGCTACTGCTGTGTCACTACATTTCTGAGGCAAACCTACAGTGCACTCCACTGCATGTAACTGTTAGCTTTAGTTGCAGTTGCCTAACTTATTAGGAGTTTATAACATAAAGAGTATAGGCTATAAAGTACAGTATACTTAGCCACACACTTTGGCCAACAACAACAGTGCCTAATGCATCACTAATAACAATCCAGTAACTTAACTTGCAACAAAATAACACTGACAGGAGCCCTTCTGCACCATAGTTGGCTGAAAGAGCTTGTAAGCAGGACTTGGACTTTTCAAGTGTGGGATTGGTAAAGAAGCTGAATACTTCTTCTGCTACTGGCAGGACTAATTTTATGATTCAGTGTTACAGATTGAACTATTCAACAATGTGTAAAATAGCTGAAATGACATCATCTGAACAAGCTGCAGCACATAACATGAAGATGATTATGATATAGCCTGGGTCCTCTCCCAGCGGTGTCAAAATAAACCAAAGAGCTCCACACCTCCCACAGAAACCCGCATACCCAGTATGTTTGGATATAGCTTCTGCTCGCTAACTGCCTCCAGTCATTATTGTCTCACTCTCTCCCTATGGCTCCCAAAGCGGAAACGGTGACGGTGGGAAGGAAAGGGGTCCATTTCTCTCGCTAATGTTCCGACATTGTCTGCAAAGTGATTCCATTTGTATGAATAAACATCAGCGCTGCAATTCTTGCATATTGAGCGAGGAGGGGCCCATTGTCCCCTTTCCGTTGCCGAGAGCTGCACATAATTAGCTTTACAACGGAGCGGCCCGCTTCTTATTACCATCATTATCAGCATCAGCATAACAGTGGCTGTGAACGCATCATGCGCCTTTTGTTTTGTTGCCCTGTCATGCACTATTTTGGGGCGACTCGGACAATTTCTAGGACTTTCTCTGAAGTACATCCTGCGTTTAGGTATGCACTGTTATGGTGGAGAACACTGGGTGCAGTTTATTTCAGTTCTCTTGATCTGATGGGTTTTTTTATAATCTTAAAGACAATTTTACAACATCTCTGTTACGTTACCTCTTTAGATGTCTGCATATGATAAAACATCCCACAGAAAATGCGCACATTTCTTAGGAACGCAAAAGGAAATGCACAATTACAACTAGAGTTTGTATCTTGGCTAAACTAAACACTAAACACGAGTCAGAAATAATTGGGTGTCTAAGATGCATTTCCAGCACATTAATACGGTAATACGGGGGTGGGGGGGTCACATATATAAACTGCTCTAAACACATGGCAGCGTTCCCGGTGTTATGCGTCTTTTCACAAAAGGCAGTTACTGATTCACTGTCTTATAGGTGCATACAAATGCGTGCATGCTCTAAATCAGCAGTCGAGTTGTATTTCTCTTTCATTTTTAACTAATTACGTGGCTATTTAAGTCTCATTGTAGACGCACAGGGTAAAACGCACCAGGTTTGTTAGTGCAGCAAGCTTCCATGTGATGAGGAACAGGTGGTGTGTGTGTGTGACTGAATGGGAGGGAGGGAGGCACATCTGCCAGGCTATCATGCTCACTGACTGAATATTCACACCTCCCAGTCCTACCAGCAAACAGGATGCGGTCCCCAGTGTGACTGTGTGCTGTGTAGTCAGACGGACAGATTTAGGGGGAGGGGGCTGGTGATACCGTTCAACGACCTGCATTTATGACCTGCGAGCAGGGGCGTCTGACAAACACGAGCAAATACACAACACGGCGATGGAGAGTAAAGTATCCATATGTGTCCATCCAGCTGCATCATTACACCATTATGGATGAATTACAGCCGATTACCCCCCCCACACACACACACACACACACACACAAAGCATGTCTGAGCGCAAATGTTGACCATGCCATTTTATTGATGTCACATTTGAGCTTGTCAAAATCTGTCGGTGCATGTTTTTCCCATTTAAGCGATATTTCGGGTTATTGCGCGCTCCTTGGAGAGATTAGGGCGCTATTGTGAAAAAGGCAACACTGTGTCTGCTTCTAATTTCGCCCTGATCAGGATCGTATTTGGCTCAGAGTCATAAAACTATCGATTTTATTGAGCTGTAATGTTTCGTGGCATGACTTCAGAGTTTATTCTTCTTGTTTTATAAGGGAAATCATCTGTGAGTAATAGAAAACTATGATGATGATAAATGATCCTCCCATATTAATGCGTGTCCTGCATGACATTCCCAGTCAGACTACCAAAATCTTGCTTGGAGCACCTCATCATTGAAAGAGCGAGTGTTTACCGAATGAATGATTGCATCAGATGCAGGAAAGATGTAATTTCATGTTTTTTTATTTTTTTTTTTTTTACCATCTACTGTTTTATAATGAAATAGAGTTTCGATCTTAACAGAGCGTCTGGACGCCTCCAATACACAAAACGCGTTGCCGTCATTATCCCAAAGGAGGTGAAAGTGTACTGGGATTTGTTAGCTCCAACAGACAATTTACCATCCAGTCTGCTTAATGAATCACCGTGCAGCGCAGAACAAAAGCGTCGCTTATCATCCTATGATGAAGTGCAAACAGGCCATCATCGACTCCCATTGCTGGAGGGGGGGAGAAGGGCGTGAAGCCCTACACCTGGATGGAAGTGGCACCCACAGGCCACATAATGTGACACATGCCTAAAAAATAACACCTTGCGCTCGCACCTTGGCCTGCACTTCTGGCACAAAACCAATTAGATTTGCCTCATTTGTACAGACCTTTTAATATAGAGTCACAGCAATGAGTAAACTATCTGTGGATACATAGATTTCATAGATTTTTAAATTAAAGAAAAGGAAATGCATATGATTGGCCATCCCTTGGTTCCCAAAGTGGAACTTGGAGACTTTAATGGGAACAAACTGCAAACTTTCTCACTGTAAATGCACATCTTCTTGAAATTATATTGTACATAATCCTAGAGGAGGTTACACAGAACAGTACACAGTGAGCTTGGCATCATAACAGGTTATTATTACCAAAATATCCAATCCATCACTCTTTTATTCCAAACATCCGCAGCCAAATAATAAGCTTTACCTTCCCTGAACTCTCTGAGATAAATCACCCATGAGCACCACTACAGTAATGTAAACTTGAACCACAGAGCTTGTTCTGGCCCCAAAGGGACCATTGTGAGGGACAGCACTGTTGCTCAACCACTAAATGTTAAATGTGATGGGAACATTTCCCAGATCTAAATATGCTCTAATAAATTTCACCTGTTCATGTTACAAAGTTCTACAATGGTCACAAAGATTGGCTTTTGGCATCAAACTACAATTCAAAGTCAGACACTGTAAATCATAATATGGGAATTTAGTGGAACTAATATTTAATCATTAAGTATTGTTAATTTCTAGTGAATGCAACTTTGAAAGCTTAGTTTTCAATTTCAAACTGCTTACAAACAGGACTTTTGCTGGCTTGAGAGGCAGCCTGGGAGGTTGTCTCTCTACTGACTGGTTGAAAATGGCTTCAACAGCTGCAGCTGAAAGACTCTTTAGAATGAGAAATGTGAAAGGAAAACTAATCTGCTTGTGTCGATTCATCTTAATGTCCTAAGTTTACTGAACTTTTCTTAGCATAACCAATTTTCAGAACTCATAAAACAAACTGAAATAACTATTCAATCTAAATTCAGTTCACTCATTTTAAGGCAGCAGAGAAACTTCTGAGCTAAACCTAAAATGATTTACAGTGTAATAAATGGGATTTTAAGTAGACCTGTCTAGGTAGGCTTTAAAAGCCAAAGGAAAGCGTTTGAGGTCTAACAGAGGTTTGCAGAAGGTCAGGACAAACTGAAACAGGTTGTCTGCAGGCATTTCAGATATTTTCATTTGTTTCTGTTAAATCACTTATGTCTCAGCTCCAAACACTTGAAAAATCTGCAGCGCAATGAGCCACAGCAGCAGACACTCACACATTCCTTACTGTACATGATCTGGAGATTCCCACTAACTCTTCTTCATGGGTGTCAAGTGACTACAACATAAGGAGCAGACTCACTGCTGCAGAATGCAAAACTCAGAACATGTAGAGGCCATAAGACAAACAACCAGACATAAAGAAATAAGGGAGCTTTCAGAACTGATCAACACCTTCACCACAATAATAATAAAACATTTTGTTTGCATTGTACAATAAATTAAGAAATAAACCAAGCAAACTAATAAAGTAGACTATCACAGTTGGCCAGGAAACTAAACCATGAAAGCAAAAAATATATAAAAAGTCAAATCATAATAATATCTGTAGGCCTGGGTATATATAGTCCCCATATAACAAACTTTAAATGTCTGTGGCCTACGTTTTAATCAATAAAAAAATGTCAAAATTTGAGTGTGGTGCTATATATTTAATACAAAATAACTGTGAAAAAAGCAAAATATATTGTTTAGGGTTTAATTTAGCTTCTCCTTGTCCTTGGAATTTGTTTTGGTAGAAAGTGTTGTGAAGGTTTAGGCACAAGATAAATCACGTTTCCATATCTTGAGCTTTAGTGAATTGATAGGGGTTGATTTCCCTTTCCATCGCCGACACCCATCCCCACCCCACCCTTCACCCATCCCTCCCATCATCTCTCCCCCTCCTCCCGGTCGGTGGCTGCAGGAGGCTGTCAGGGAAGCAGGCTATAAAACAGAAAGGGTCGGGACTCTGAGGAGGAAAGACATACTGTACAGTGTCTAGCTGTCTGAAAGTGGGATGATCCACAACTTTAAAACACTTGGCTTTAAGCAGGAAACGATACTTTGGTTACGGTGTAAATTAGGTCGACAGTGACTTTATAAATTAGGCTTCTCCACATCGGAGGTTAGTGGGAAACATTTCGAGGAGAAAGTGAAAAAGGGAGCTTTGGGATGCTGGTTCCTCGCGCGCTGCGTTCCCTGCTGTGCGTACTGAGCTGCGCCTGGCTGCGCACCGGAGCGGCCTCGAGGCTCAAGGCTCCGGCTCTGCCCATCCAGTCAGAGAGAGAACCAGTGCCCTCCAAAGGCTTGTCAGGTAAGAGAGCCGGCTCTATTTGGAAGTTATTACGGTTTTATTTCATACGAATCTAAACATTCCCGTCCAGTTGAGGTACCCAAAAGAAGACAGTATCAAAATCCGTCCAAAATATGTAATATTTAAAGTGACCAGTGCTGGACAAGTTTGGTCTGTGTGAACGTAGAATGACTATATGTTTTATTTGACTTAAGAAGAGCAAGTTTTGAATTCGACTAACATTCAGTACAAGCAGCGTAATTATTATATTATTATTATTTTATTATTATTACTTTTACCAACAACTTAAAGCTAGTTAGCCCACCTTTCCATAATGTTTTGATGCCAAACTATCCAAACAAATTTATATGATCTTACAATTATGCCGCATTTTAGTGAACACTGTTGTTGTTGTTGCCTGTTGTAGTGTAACTGTAAGTTTAACATATGCATATTTTTCCGGATAAAGCGAAAAAACTTTGAATTACTCGATTTTGTGGCGATGCTCGGGGTGTTCTGGACAGAGCCAGGCTATGACCTCGTCATCAACTGAGTTCAGCCGCTTGTAAGCTGCATGCAAAGGTGAAGTGGACAATAATCTGACTTAAAAACAGTCTTCCTGACTTCTCCTAGTGTCGTAGCATGAGTTAGGCTACAACCCCAACTTTCGGGAATTTTCAGTGACTCCTTAAAATGTTCCTCAATGTCTGTGTTGCGTTAAACTAGCTGCAAACATATGAATCATAACCGCAGTGAATGCCATTTGATTTATGTATGAAAGCCCCCATGTACAAAGATCACTGCGGTTTTTTTTACAAGGTAACTCGGGAGTTTAGAACTGTGGGAACTCCACGTTAACCACCGTGTAATTCGGTGTTGGAAACTGTAGAAAAAAAATCGACTTTCCATTACAAGCATTGCCTCTTCGCAGATGATTTATTTCAACTCAGCAGAGACCGAAGTGGCAGGCAAAGCGAGCGGCTCACAGTTTGGCTGCCTTTAACTGGAGTGGACTGTTTAAACGGTGCAGTCACTTTAATGAAGGAATAATGTGAACCAGGTTGGTCACAGTGAGCCAGGCGTTTGGTGTGTGTGCGCGCTCACCACACACACTGCTTACAGGCTCTTATCCAAACCAAAAATCACTGTAGTAACTCACCGTGACTAACACTCAATTATGATTGTAATGATAACAGTAAAAGCTATTTCTATGTCCTGTAAACTCAATATAGTGCAGCCCTATAGGCTGGAATCGAACAGTGACTTCTAAAAAATAGTTATAGCGCTACTGTATTTGAAACAGCACTAGAGTGTCATTTATTTATGATTATTATTATTCTTAATCTGTGGGATTTCTTTAGGAAAAGGGGCTTTATTTTCATGGTCCATCTGATGTGGATGTGACAAAGTCATTGTCACTGTTACATTTCTAGCCTGATGTGCTGGAGTGAAGAACCAAGCAACACCGTGTTACTGTGGCTGGTATTAACAATAATTTTAGGTTTGAGTTTATTGTGAACCGGCTGCACTCTGAAGCATTTCCCCTTCCTATTGCTACTTATTTTATTAAGCCTTTAACAAAGCTTGGCATGCATTGCTTTGTGTTTCTGGGAATCTCTGATCATCTTTCAGTGGAAAATTGAATGTCTCCCATGCTTACTCATGGATCATTTAGATGAGACAGAATTGCAAGGTTGGGTCCCAAAAATCATGAGGCATCCAGGAAGTTTCAGTTGTTTCCAACGTGCCTGGGCAGTGAACTATGCAAGATTTATGTGCTGTAAAAACTATGAAAATGGGGTACAACAGTCCAATCTGCACAGTCTGTTATCCCACAGTCTGGAATACTTTCTCTTGCTCTTAAATGTCAGAAACTTTACTTAAGTCAGTTTTATCTTAAAGTGCCTCAACTGAACTCTGTTTTGTTCCCCATAATAGCACAAGCCTCATATATAATCATGTCATTTCATTTAGTTTCTAATCAAGGCTGCCTCTGGTTTTGAGAGAGCCAAAGCATTGCGATCATACTGAGTGTTTGACCCTGAAGACAGCCATGTGTAATCAGCCGTGTTTGTGTTACAGGATGCTCATTTGGAGGCCGATTCTACTCTCTGGACGACACATGGCATCCAGATTTGGGTGAGCCCTTTGGTGTCATGCACTGTGTCCAGTGCCACTGCGAACCTGTAAGTTTTAGTATCAGTGTGAATCCTCTGTGCAGCAGCAGGGTGAAGCAGCCATAACTCATCAGAAAGGCCAGATTCTTTACTGCATGTTTTCAGATGAACATTTGGTGATGTGTCTGTTTCTCTGGCAGCAAAAGAGTCGTCGTGGCAAAGTACTGGGGAAGGTAAACTGTAAGAACATAAAACAGGACTGTCCAGACCCAGACTGTGATGATCCCGTCCTTCTGCCAGGGCACTGCTGTAAAACCTGCCCTGAAGGTATGTATCAAACTGACCCCATCTCACCAACACCTATCTCACTTCATCAAAGTTGTTTTCTGTTTTTTACTTTTTGCTGCTAATTTTAGCTGCTCTAGAAATAAGAAACCCAAGCACAGCTTTAATCACTAAACAAACTTTTTTTAAAAAGTAAAAATCTCTTCCCCTTTGCTACAGCAGTGCCCTCGTTCCTACAGTTTTGTTTATCCTTTATTTGAATCATACCTCTTGCTTTCCTCTCCTCCTCCATTTTCCCAGTTGCAATCCCAGTTTTTTATTTATTTATTTTTTTCACCCCTGGGCCAACTGGTTAGTCTTCAGAACAGCTGTTGGATACAGCGAGCAGGTCAATTGATTTTCCATTCAGCCACGTCCAGTGGACATCTTCTCTCTAACCAGCTACAATAAAAAGCACCACCCATCCACTATTTAGCCTCATTCACGTATTGTTGCTTACACACAAAAACTTTCACCTTATTAAAGAATTAGAGCTCCCCCGCACATGCTCACACACTCACAGGGTGGGTTTTTAAGCTGTGCTGTTGTTCAGCAGATTGGGTGTTTTCCTATGCCATGAGTGCCTGGTAATGGAATGGAAAGTAAAGGTAAAGCACTGTGGGGACAACACTGTGCTCTGTGTGTGTCAAGAATTAGAAAAGGCTCATGACTGTGCATGTGTGCATGTGTTGTGGTCAAGGTTTAAGGAAAAGGTTGAGTGTGTTTGTCTTAGCTTTGGCACCAAAACAGCTAGTATATTTGTGTAAGTGATGGAAAATGATGTGTGTATGTGTGTGTTTATATATGTGTATGTGTAATGACTGCTGCACCTGAGGCTACACTATTGCTAAGTGGGGAGAAGTGAGAGTGACACTACCCAGAGCATGCCCAGTGGAGCAGAGGAGTGAGAGAGTGAGGGAGGAATGATGAGATTTGAGATGTGTGTGTGTGTGTGTGTGTGTGTGAATCAGACAGATTCACACACACACACACACGCACTCAAACGGTCTAACTCACAGTCTAGCTGTTCTGCTGAGTAGACAACCTTGGAGAAATAAAGTTTGTGCAACTAAGAGGCAGCCTGTGGATTTCTTTCTCAAGCTCAAGCATGTGCATTTGTATTTAGCTCAGTGAGCACTGCTGCATGTGTCACTGTGTATGTTTATGTGTGTGTGAAAAACAGTACATCAGGGGGCACTGCGGTTTGTGTGGAACAGCAGCTCGTTGTTGGGATTGCACACCAGTGACACTCCCAATTCTACTTATGCCATTCAGCTGCAAGAGACTCCACTGGTTAGTTACCTCTGGCTGAGAGAGAGGAGTGAGAAGGACAGAGAGACTTTCAGCTTCAGTACTGGATTGAATTGCCCCTTCTTCCAAATTATTATTTTCTTCTGTATTCTTTACTTGTCTTGTCAAACCATAATTTGTCACAGTTCCTCTTTGACTCATTATGTCCACTCATTTCAACCTCTTTATCCATAATTGAAAACATAATCAATAAAAAACAAGAGGGCAGCTGATGCTTTAGTTTTATCTGTGCACCAGACTAATTGTATAACATCTACACAACTCTATGTATTTAAATTACTTTTTAAAAAATAATTATTTTAAAGTGACCTATGTGTATTCAGCAGGTATCTCACTTTATTTAACTATTTTTTTCTTTCTGCAGATAACAGTGACAAGAAACAGACGGACTCTGTGCTGGACCCCTTTGAGTATTTCCATGAGAAGAGCAAAGAGAAGGAGGATGACCTCCACAAATCGTACAATGACAGATCCTACCTGAGCTCTGAGGATGTGGGCCCTGAGGAGAGCCGCACTGGTGAGTAGGAGCATCTGTAGACACACCACCAACACACACACAAAGCAGAATTTAACAGAATATAATAAAAAAGAAGCACCAACATGTTAGGCCTAAATATAACTGCAAGACCATTTGAAAATATGAATTGCACATAAATCAAAGAGCCTGTTTTCAGGACTTCACATTCATGCACATCCACGTGCAGGCCGTTTAAAAGCACTATGAACTACTATGGCAACTTTTTAAGAAGGCATGTATCTGTCTTCTCTCTCCTCCTACAGACTTTATAGCGGTGTTGACAGGGGTGACAGACTCATGGCTGCCCAGCTCCAGTGGAGTTGCCAGAGCCCGCTTCTCTCTGACCAGAACCAGCCTGGCTTTCTCCATCACATACCAGAGGTAAGACACCCAGTGCAACACTGGAGAAATACCTCCTCCCTTTGGAGGAGTTTGTAGCTCTCTTCTTCATCTCATCAGATGAAGCAGCATCACTGCTCCTGCTGCTGTAACTTGTCAGCTCTTCTCCCGTTTACCCCAAACAAAGTAGCAGATTTAAAAGATGTCATGATTTGTCATGTTGTTATACCAGTCAGCATTAAGAAGTAGCCAAACTGAATTGTAGAAAAAAATTACTCGTGATGTGAGAATACATTGGGTAATATCTTTTTACGTTAAAGTTTTCTCCCTCATTTTGCAGAATGGGCCGTCCCAGTAAAATAGCCTTCCTGGATTCAGATGGGACCACAGCTTTTGAGTACAGGGTCTCCAAGGGACAGTCAGACATGGTAAGACATAAATAGAACATCATCTCTGCTCTTTCCTCTGCTGTTATTATTATGTGTCTGTGTATTTCCTGAGAGAGAGAGAAATTAAGTGCTGGTATGATGAATGCTCTCTCCGTGACCGTGCTCAAACCTCTTCTTTCTTTACTCACTCTGCAATAATAAACGATAAACAAACTCGCACACACACACAGTGACTCTTCCCTTCTGCTTCACTGCCTTTTTATAAACACCAGAAACTCAGCCTGATTGCAGTAAACATCAACACTCACTCACTCATAGGTAACATCAGGGAGAAACCACCACCAGTTCAGAGTTGTACAACTCTAAGTGTAGTAAAGGGCCAATATTATCCTGATTAATCAGTAAACTGACATGTTGGTGTAACAGTACCCATGCATGCATGTCCACACACTCAGTAATGTCTGATTCTATGATTTCCTGCCAAAATACACAAGTCTCCTCATTCCATTTCAGACTCCAACACTGTTCAGTGAACCAGCAGCCCCCTAAATACAGGTCTCAGAAATTGGCCTATTATTATTTTTAGATAAATGTCAGTGTCAAACACCAGAGGACCTTAGAGAAAACACTCCACACTGGAGCACAACTTTGGGAAAGACAGAATTTTTCACATGTTACATCACTGCTTAGCAGGGGGACATAGCACCGCTAATTAAAATGGAGATTACCCCTGAACTCTGAGTTATGAGGAGCCGGCACACTGCCACATTTCTTCCCTCTGCTCTCAGGGAGAAGTGGTGGTTTTATGTTGAAGGTCTGCAGCCTCGGGTTGAGCGCACAATCACATGGTTTGATGTATTTAGCAGATGTGCATAGTGTTGTCTGTCTGTTTGAATGTGTTTGCCCTTTTGCCTACTTGTACAATTGCAAGAAAAAAAGCAATGGCACTGTTTGCAGTTTCCTGGTTTTCTGCATAAATTGGCCATGAAATGTGATCTGATCTTCAACAAAGTAACACATATCAACAAACACAATATTTCTAAGCTGATAAAACACAAACAGTCATGATTTTTCATGCCTTTATTGAACACACCCATTAAACATATAGAGTGATGGTGGAAAAAGTAATGGCAACAATGCTGCTTCTGAACAGCACGCTGACGATGATTTAGTGTTTTTGTAAGTCAAGGTAGTTCTAAACCACACCTCTGTTCTCGTTTAATTGACTGGACTCCAGGTTTGCTAACACCTGACTCCAGCTGATGTTTAGTGACATCAGAAGTCTCGTGTTGCCATTACTCTTTCCACCATCACTTTGTATGTTTAATGGGTGTGTTCAGTAAAGACATTAAAGATCATGACTGCTTGTATTTTATCAGCTTAGAAATATTGTGTTTGTTGATATTTGTGACTTTGGTGAAGATCAGATCACATTTCATAACGAATTTAGGCAGAAAAACCAGGACATTGCAAACAGTGCCATTACTTTGTATTTTCCATCAGCAACAAAAATGTGAATGTGTTTAGACACTTTTAGCCCAGTTATGGTGTGATGTCCATCTTTACCGTGACAGTGTTCAGATTACCTGTCTGTGTGTGTTTAGATCTGTGGAATATGGAAGAACCTAGCTAAACCCCTAATACGACAGCTGCAGTCTGAGCAGATGCGCATCAGAATGACCACGTTGATGAACAGAGGAGAAGAAGTGGAAGGGAAGATCATCAAACACAGAGCACTGTTTGCTGGTGTGTGTGCACATGGGATATTATATTGTAAAATACTCATGGCTTATTATATTTTCCTTCAGACATGCCTAAGCTTTTGTCTTTGTGTTGTAGTACACAACAAACTCAGTATTTACAGAACAGCAGAACTGTGTACTCATGTAGGCCTATTTTAAAAAGCCTTGCCTGGATTAATGTAGATAAAATGTGCGGATTTGTTTATGGAGAAGTATTTGTATAGAAGTCCTGTAAGAGAATACAGGTACTCAGTGTGGTAATGTAAATGTGTCTTGTGTACAGAGACATTTAGTTCAACTCTGACCTCCGAAGAAGAGAATTCAGGCATGGGAGGCATCGCCATGTTGACACTGAGTGACACAGAGAGCAATCTTCACTTCATCCTCATCCTCCAAGGCCTCATCAAAGACAAAGGTGAGAGGGGAGGGATGAGGAAAACAACAACGGGAAGAGGCATTGCTAAAGTAAAAGTCTTTGGGGACATGGGGACACAGAGATGGAGAGAAACTAGAATGTTGACAGAATAAATGAGAGTTCAAAGCATTGGGATATTTTTCCTTCCTTAAACAAACACCAAATTTACAATCTTCCTCCGAAATGACAGGCTGAGAAAGAGCACAGGCACTTATTTATCTGAGAAAATAAAAGTCAAGAGAAAACTGTCGGGGCCAGAATCAATGTTTGGGACAAGTTCAATCCATTCATTGCTATAAACTGCGCTGTTGATGCTACTGTAAACCATGGAATCTGAAGGACTGATATTAGCTAAATATGGTAATCAGAAAACTGTCTCTCTATCCACAGATCCCCTTTTGGTGCCTATCCGGGTCCAGCTTGTATACCGCCAGCACATCCTGAGAGAGATCCTTGCCAACATCACCTCTCATGTGAGTAATAACACACATTTGCTCCATGTGGACTTTATGGGCTCATAACAATATTTGGAATTTTTATCTTCACATTTGGAAATTATTGAACTGCTTAAAAAAAAATTGTGCTGTGAAGATTTTTTCAGAACAGCTGTTCAACAATTGAAGTAGTTGTTAGGAAACGTCTTATCTGAGGAGGAGAAGCGTTGTTGTTGTTTGT